ATCATTTGAACAAAAAAAAAAATGGCACTCTGATTAAACTGCATTTTACAGCCTGCAGGAAACCTTGGGTCAGCTTGGTTTTACTCTAGATTTCACTGTCGTCCCACCCCGCTGCTTCTTTCACCAACATGCAAGTTCTTTTCCTTCCCTACCAGACAGACAGATGGGAGAGGCAGGCGTGGCTTTCGTTGTCAGTAGTTCTCGATTCTTTGATGAGAAAGGGGCAGCACAGTCATTTAAACTTGATCCAACCTCTTTGCATCTTACAAAGTTAAACAGCTAAAAGAAGTAAAATAAGAAGGCAATGCTTGTGGAATGTACAGTACATATTGGCAGCGCTCACCTCATTACAACTCGCCTGCTTGCTTCTCCTGTTCAATCGTTTCTTTGGAAGGCAGTGGATTTTTCTCTTGCGTTTCTGTCTTCTTCAATTTTGACTTACCGAATTTCTCGATCTCAGCCACATCGGGCTTGTCAGACATGGTTGCAGAGAAGCGGAGCAAGGCGCAAGAGCAAGAAGAATCCGATCTGCGCAGTGACCACTGCCCAGTCCTAAATGTCTTTTAAATTGGTCATCTCCTATCCATCTCTACTGCTAGCCTCTTTGGTCAAACCTTATCTAGACTTATATTTACCTTTTAACTACAGACGTCCCTCAGTATATGCACAGGATTGGTCCCAGGACCACCCTACATGTACCAAAATCCAGTATACATAAGTCCCTCAGTTGGCCCTGTGGAACCTGTGAATACAAAAACTTGGCCCTCCTTATGTGCAGGTTTCACATATCATGAATACTGTATTTTTCATTCTCGGTTGGTAGAAAAAGCTCTGCATATAAGTGGACCTTCGTAAGTCGAGCTCATGTTGTTCAAGGGTCAACTGTAGTCTTATCCTGCCAGTCTACATTTTTCAGTACTGGTCTGGTGCTCTAAAATATTGCCTTCTCTGGCTTACTAACCAAATTTCTTGATAAGCATCCCTTGACTTCAGGTCTTTGACATAAGCTTTGTCTCTGTCACCCACCTTACACCTTACAGTCCAGACACAATGAAGTCCTCCAGGTTCTCTAGACGTGTATCCTTATTTACATGCTGTTCCCTTCTCTCTAAAATGCCCTATCCTTACCTTGGTCATCTGTATCGTTTTTTCTTCCTACAAAACTCAGCTCTGAGGCACTTCTGTATTCTCTACCTTTCTCAGTTAACCAGTGTCACTGTGGTAACTTATACTCCATCAGTGTACTGATAAAATGCATATTAATTATTTCTGTACATAGCTGTCTCTTCCATAAGACTATGAGCTTCTTGAGGGCAAGGTCTATGTCCTATTTATCTTTATATCCCCAGTGCCTAACTTAGTAAATACTTATATAAAATTAAACTGATTACATACCCACAGTATAATCCAGTTTTGGTGTTTCTTTCTCTCATAACAGTCCTATTAATGATCTAATGCAGATTAATAGCTTCCTTGCCTACATAATCAAGGAAGTCTTGCCATTGGCAGTATAAAACACTCACTAGCATGAGAAAGTCAGCACCAGTCCAAAATAAAGGTTTACCATCCCAAGCCATGGAAATTTTTTAGCAGAGGGACTTCAAAGTTTCTCTATGCTATATTTTAGTTTTAGATCATTTTAGTTATTGACTGGTCCTTCAGATAAGAGGTTCTTTCTAACTTATTCTCATCTTTTCTTATGCTTTTTCTGTAATAATTCTTAAAAAATATTTTATTCCCTATTCTTCATGTACTGAAAACTTAGTTATAAACTTTATAATACAACTATGTCTTATAGCTAGTAGAAATTTTTAAACATGAAAAAGATCATTCATTCAACAAATCCTAAGCAACAAGTGAAAAGCATTATGCTAGGTACTAGGGCTACAAAGATGAAATGACAGACATTCCATGTCTTTAAGGAGATTTTAATCTAGTAGAAAGATAAAATGCAAATAAATATATATAACACAGGATAATTGTTATAGTAAAATTAGAATGAAACTGGAACATGGGTGAAAGAATGTCAGAGTCATGCCAGAGAAAGATGTTTGAGCACCACAAACAATATGGTATCCCCTCATGAGTAATGAAAATACAAGCAAGCAAATACATAAACATTATATAAATTACATAAAAACTTACTAAAATAATATCTCTACATTTCTCTTAACCTTCATTATAAGTGTGTCCGTCTGCATACACATTTATGGACGCAGCTTTGTTGGTGCCCTAACAGTCTGCCTATTGGTGAACCCCTGCCTTCTGGACCAGATTAGAGACAGCAAAGATATTTTAATTGTCTTGAGGTGAGAGATGATAACTTGAACCAGGATTAGGACAGTAGTAACAGAAAGAAGGGGATAGATACAAAAGAGAGATAAGAACAAACAGGATTTACTATTTGGTTGTGATAGATGAGGAAAAGAGAAGAGTCTGGGATAAGCCTAGTTTCTGGCTTGAACTGAATGAATAGGACAGGAGGAAGAGTAAGTGAAGGAGAAAGGATTAATTTTAAACATGCTGTGTTTGAGGTACTTATGAGACATAATCACCCAAAGCAAGCCAAGACTATGAAATCAAAAGGAGATTGGGGTACATTAGCATATAGATATATAAAATTTCCCTAGGAGAGTATTCACAGTGAAAAGATTGTTCATCAAAGGAGAAACTCGGACTGGACGTTATAACTTGAGGGGCAGCTAAGTACAAGGGAAGAAGTCCTCAGCTGGAAAAAGGAAATGCCAGAGGGGTAGGAAAGCCAAGAGAGAATAGTGAAAAATGCCAACAAAGAAAAGAGAAAGGAGTGGTCAGCAACATCAGGTGCCCATTCAGTTTGTTCATATGGAGGTCACTTGGATTTAGAGCACCTTGAGTGGAGGGAGGAGTAAGAACAAAAGCCAGACTGAAATGTGTTGCCAAATAAGTAGGTGATGAGGAAGTGAAGAAAGAGTAGACTGCTGCTCAGGGAAAAAAAGAGGGAGAAGCAGGTTGGTGGCTAGAGGAACCATTGCAATCCAGGAACAAATCCTTCTGTGATCATATGTATATTGACTGGAAAAAGAGTATGAGATCTGACAGGGAGGGACTGGGGAACAGAGGTGGATAACAGTCAGCCATCACAAGACGAAGAATGTTACCACAGCACGTGAGACCAGAGAAAGGAAAAAGGATAAAAACAGAAACAGATATTTATGATATGATGGGCAAGGTGTGGGTAGCAGGAAGAAGTTGAGGTATTTCAGGGTAAAGCTTCTCAGTTTTCTTGATAAGGCGAAGGGGAGTTTATTTGCTATTGGAGAGGTGGTGCTGGGTAAATAGGAGCTTAAAGGGCCAGGAAGAATTTGGAAGCAATCTTGGTCGAATAGGAAGGATTAAAACAAAGTTTTTCAATTAACAAATCCCTAATATATAAGATTTGAAATGTTTTATATCGTATTGCTTTGTGATTACCAAAATAGTTTATGCCAAAGAGAAAAATGACAAACCATATTTTTCTTTTTTCAGATGATTAAAGGAAAAGTGAAAGCTGGAAAAGTAGACTGTCAGGCTTACTCTCAGACATGCCAGAAAGCTGGTATCAGAGCCTATCCAACTGTTAAATTTTATTTCTATGAAAGAACAAAGGTATGTACAGGTTTTCCTCTATCTTCCTTCCTTTAGCTGCCCAAGCTCAAAAGGAGATTTCAGTCTGAGTAATGCTTTCTTCTGTTTCTCCTTCTATATTATTGCATATTACTGATACAAGCTTCTTTTTACTTACATATATATCAAGTGATCTTAAAAGGCTTTTTTGTCTCATAGTTGATATGCTCTCGGTTGCCTTAAAATTTTTATACTAATGAAAACTACTAGAAAGAAGCATAACAAAATATTAGTGGTTATCTCTGAGTAGTGGAATTCAAGGTAATTATTTACTTTCTGTGAAGTTTTGTATTTACTACTTTTTATAGAATGAGTACACATCACAGGTTGAGTATCTCTTATCCAAAATGTTTGTGACCAGCATTGTTTTGGATTTTTTCAGATTTTGGAACATTTCCATTATACTTACCTGATCAGCATCCCTAATTTGAAAATCCAAAATGCTCTAGTGAACATCATATTTGGTGCTCAAAAATTACAGATTTTGGAGAATTTCAGATTTTTGGATTAGGGATACTCAGCCTGTACTTTTGAAATTAATTTGCCTTTGACATAGCCCTAGTACTTGAGCATTTATCTTGAAGAATATTTAGTAGTGGGTTTAGATAACAAAATAAAAAATAAGTACCTTGGTTCAGTCATAATTACTTTTGGGGGGCATTTTTTTTTAATTAAAAAATCTAGCCAGGCGTGGTGGCTCACGCCTATAATCCTAGCTCTCTGGGAGGCCGAGGCAGGCGGATTGTTTGAGCTCAGGAGTTCGAAACCAGCCTGAGCAAGAGCGAGACTCCGTCTCTACTAAAAATAGAAAGAAATTAATCGGACAACCAAAAATATATAGAAAAAAATTAGCCAGGCATGGTGGTGCGTGCCTGTAGTCCCAGCTACTCAGGAGGCTGAGGCAGAAGGATTGCTTGAGCCCAGGAGTTTGAGGTTGCTGTGAGCTAGAATGACGCCATGGCACTCACTCTAGCCCGGACAAAAACAGTGAGACTCTGTCTCAAAAAAAAAAAAAAAAAAATAGAGAGATCTACTAATGGGTTTTAACAAAATTGAGATGATAACCTCTATTTATGATCATTGATACAAAAGCTATGTTGTTCAGCCAGTATAGTTACTCGTGACCTTTGGTGTCTTCCCAAGTAAGAGAGTAAGACTTTTTTGACAGTATAACTGTGGTATCATTTTAAAGAATGAGAAAGAAGAGATTTCAAAAACTGGTATTTTTGCTGACAGAATTGAACACTCACTTTCTTATGCTTGATTGGTTTGTAAGAAAGTGAATGAGAAGAGAATGATGAATAAGCAAAAAACATTCAGGCATGATTTTTTTTTTTAATTTTAATTAAAAGAAAAAACCAGCAAATGAAGGGGGACTGAGGAGATTGTGCAGTTTGGTAAGGATCCTAGAAAGAGTGAGTGACCTTTCAGTGTCAGAGAGCAAACAAAAAAATGTAGTCATTTTCTATCTAAAAGTAGACTTGAAAAGATAATCCTAACTATAATAGGTAAAAGCTGAAAAAGTACCATGAATGGAAGAGCTAAACAAATGATAATAAATGACCAATAAAACCTAAAACGATGAAAGCAGACTTGAAGGGTCTTAAGTAAATGGATGGTACTCTGCCCAGAATGCAGCTGATGACACAATTATCGATTTAGTCTTAATGATGATGTCACCAGCTGAACAAAAAAAACCAAAAATAGTAAAAGCAATATTGTTTCAAAAGGTTATAGTGACTATTAAGGTTACTAAGAATACCCTGTAATACACACTGCTGCCTGGAATAATGTTTACTTCCTGTATTTCTACTCAAAATTCTTTATACTACTGAGTAAGTTTCAAAGTAATGAGCTTACTTTGGGGGAAAAAAACTATTATCAACTAAATAAGTATTTGTCGCAAACTCATGTTTTCTGATAAAACATTCAAAATAAATAATCTCAAATATTTTTATACTTTGTGAGGGAGAATATCAGGTTAAGATCTGATATTTATTGGTAAATATATTTTGAAATAGAGCTAACTAAAGAAATTAGGTGATGAATTTCAGAAATCTAGAATTGTCACACATCTAGATTTTTCAGTGAGGGTTCTTAATTTGTCAAGAAGCTGTCTCTGTCTTAAGAACAGCCTGGTGCAAGCAGAACTCACTGGAGGTAAGGCAGTTATACCAGAGCCTAGGTCTTCATTCCTTTGGCATCAACAGCTCTATTTTTCCCAGTTTTCAGAACAGCTGAGAAATTAGTGACATAAATAGGGGTCTTATTCAGGTAAAATGGTATTGGAGGAGTATCAATGTGATGAGCAGTCACAGAATTAACCAGAGCATAGACAGAGCTGTTTGGAAAGATGTTGCCATGTGTCCAGAGGACAGAGTTAGGGACCAGATGTACCTGTCCAGAGAGAGAGAAATCCAGGCCAGACAGGAAGGCCAAAGCAGAATAATGATGGGAGTAGACAGAAATACAAACCAGGTGGGCAGTCACACAAAAAAGCAAAATTCTACCATATACTATGTGGGTTGGGGTTCACACCAGGATTAAGAAAACAGGAGGTACAGATCCAAAATAAGTAGGCTTGGATATATTGACCTGCTCCTTCCTCTGCTTTTAGCCAGCTTCCTGCCATGGGCAGATGAAAACTAGGAGATACACATTGCTCTCCATTATTGTTGTTGGTCAGGGTTTGTCAGTGTTATTGATTATATTAGAGTAGAATGATTACAGTCCTCTAGGAACATCTTTTCTTGTATAATTTAGTATGAAACTTATGGAGTCAGCAATGTATTTTTACCAAGGAATTGTTTTACATTCCCATAGCACTAGTATTTATTTTAGGTGCATTATGGTCTAACTGTGCTTTTGTAACATTATTTCTTTGAAGAAACTTAAATTTCCAGAACAAAAGAACTTTAAAGCATATTTAATCAAATTTCTTAGATGGAAATGTCATGTTTTGATTAATAACAAGAGTGTTTTTAACTTTAGAGAAAGTTTGGGGAAGAGCAAATAAATGCCAGAGATGCAAAAGCAATTTCTGCCTTAATATATGAAAAATTGGAAATTCTCCAAAATCAGGAAAAGAGAAATAAGGTAAGGGCTAAGCCTAGAGCTGACTTTGGAAGAAGTTATCAGAATTTATTCTTACTCTACATGTATCAATAGGTAAAAATGTAGCTTCGAAAAATAGTAAGATAGTTAAAAATTTCTACTTTGGGAAATACGACTATCAAAATGTAGCCTGTAGACACTGAAATGCTTAGAAATTTGGACAATAAAACCACTTAAAAAATAGTGACTATAGTCCATACAAAAATTATATACTAATGTTCGTAGTAATATCCTTCATAACAGCAAAAAAAATGGAAACCTAAATGTCCCTGAACTGATGCATGCTGAAACATGGTGACCCTTGAACAGATATGGTTAGTGAATAAAGCCAGTCACAAAAGGCCAAATATTATGTGAGTCTATTTATGTGAAATTAGGATAGACTAATCCATAGAGACAGAAGATAGATTAGTGGTTGGCTGGTGTGGAAAAGAGCAGAAATATGGGTGACTGCTAAAGGTAATAGGAGTTCCTTTTGTAGGTGTGGAAAATGTTTTACAAGTATGTTGTAATGATAGTTGCACAACTCTTAATGTACTAAAAGCTACTGGACTCTTAAATGTAGGAATTTTATGGTATGTGAAATATATCTCAGCGAAGTTGTTAAAAAAGTAGTGACTAGTGCCATAAATTCTGCTCAAATGTAAAATTATTGAATTGTTAGGAATTAAATAAACTGGAGCCTCATAACACATTTTGGATAGCAAATTTTCTTTTGTTCTTGGTATAGTCAGGATGTATTGATTTTGGGGTCCCATATTCATTTTGGGACCCCTCTTTGGATTTTTAATCTGTTAAGCAGCAATACAGTCTCTTTCCTATTATTCTTCAGAAGATAGCTTTTTTTCTTTTTTAAATCATTGTTATTCTAGGGCATACCTAAAGGCAGACCAAAGAGTCCATGGCTGTTGGAGTGCTTTCCATATGGAATTTAATACAATCACGTATGAGGTGGCTTGGATTCTTTCCCAGTAAGGTGAAAGAGGGACAAAAGAACAGTTCAGCCTCTGGAGCAGGCTTTTTTATAGCACCATATTAGAATACAGGTGCTGCTATAGTGCCGTTCAGAACTGCATGCCCCAGCAGAGGAAGCCTTACCTTACCACCTGCTTTGAGACTATTTTATACAAATCTAAAAAATAAGGAAAGAGATAGTTATGAATCTGTATTTTTTTAGTTTCACTGAACAAACATGTTTGCTATATTAGTTCTCAACAATCTTAAATATTTGAAATAAACACTGACATTAAGCTAAAGAGCACATCAAATATGACTTTTAAAGTATATAAAGCTATAGTTAATTGCCTATAAGGATTGGCCATGCCAAAAAAAACCCAAACCTCTAGTTAGTACTATCTGCTGTGGACAGATAAGAACTAGGAAGTATTCTTTTCTTTTCCACTGTTATAGTTAGGTAAGCTATATTTCATGTAGTGATCCATTAAATAAGAATACTGAGTATTGTTGAAAAAGTAAAGTATTGGTAAGTTTATATTTTATTTTACCTTATTTTTAACAGTACAAACTCATATTTCCTTTCTCTTTTGATGACCTTTACATTATCATTATAGGATGAACTTTGATGATGTTGAAGATGAAGAAAAACTTAAAAAGAAATCCTGACAAATGACATCAGAAGATACCTTTTTAGAATATTACTACATTCATGGTGGGAATAAATGAACATTATCTTGGACTCGTAATTAATTGTACTGCCAGAATGGCACAAAGGGTCTGCAAACTTCTGTAAAGGGCCAGATCATAAATATTTTTGGCTTTGAAGAACATATATGGTTCTTTGTCACACATTATTCTTTGTTTTTTGTTTTTGTTTTTTTAAAAACAACCCTTCTTAACTCAGGGTCATACAAAAATAAGCCACTGGGCTGTAGACTGTGGACCCCTAGAAGTGATGTTTTGGGTGGCTGGCTCTAACATGAGCCTGCTCTGCTTTTATCTACATAAATGTCAAAGATATATAAAGTGCACTTTTCACTTAAAGTTTTGTGGCTGGCCTGAAAAGAGGTAACTTGGTTTTCAGTTACCTGTTCTCCTAAAAATTCTGTCTCTGACCATACATTGCATTTTCAAAACAAGAGGTGAGCAAATAAAAATACCCTGTTACAGTGCTATATTTTAGTGAAGAGATTCTTCATTTTTTTCTTTCCTTTTTAAAGGTTGAAGAAATGTTTTAGTTTTTCACAACTGAGACTTTTTTTTGCAAGAATAAGTGCACAAATTCTATAGATAGCTATATCATCCAGAAAAACCTGAGAAAAATTTATACTAATTAAACATTGTAGAGTATCCCAAATATATCAAGTATTTAGAATTCTATATTTTAAAGATTTATGTGTTCATATATTTTCTGAAATTGCTTTTGTAAAAATTTTCCCACTGATACTTGATTTCTGAGGTATATTTCTAATATTTACAGTTTTTTTTTTTTTAATATAGTTCTGGTTTTTCAGTCCTATCCAGTCTATTCATTCAAATAGGAAAATTTTACATGTTTGTTTCACCGTAACGCATAATGACACTGTGGTTATGCCAGTTATTAGTTTACTGTCAGAGGGCTTTTTCGGATAAATATTGGCATAATAACTGAGGTTATTTTTATAAGAAAATCAAGTATATAAATCTGGGATTGAGATCTCTTAGATTCTGAGTTTAGACTCAATCACAAAATTTTTTTCTTGCATTTTAACAAAATTGTGATTAACATGTAGTCGTTTAGTTATAATACAGTGTGTGGAATGGGTAAAAATCTCAATTCATCGAAAGAGGTCAATGAATAAAAAAACTTTCAATTTTTCCAAAAACCTATTAGAATTATACTTTATTGTGTTTGGAAGAGTGTTTTTTTTTTTTTTTTAATGTCACTTTACCCTGCTCCCCAGTATTGCCTCATAAGTGTTTATTATTTTATAATACTATACATAATTTATATAAAAAATAGACTGTTAATTTTCAACTCTAACCCTGTTCATATTCTCTCCCATCTTTTTCTCTATTATATACTCTTAATTCTATCTTGGATTCTGCTTTATACATTTGGGCACATATAAACAGTTATCATTTCTAACTTCAATTTAACATCAGCTTTTGAATTATGATCAATAATGGCAAGAGACTTTCATTTATTAAATTTTTAAAGCCTAGAAATTCTTCAAAATTGGCTTGTTTCATCTACAAGAATTCTAAAATGGAATGTCTAAAGAAGTCTTACTTGGTAAATATTTACTAAATTAATGTACCAGTTATGTGCATACCATTGCAGTGGACAATAAGGAGTGTAAAAAAGGAATCTAAGACATGAACCCCATCTCCCAAGTGTAATTCACCGTTCTGTCACTGAGCTCGTAAATAAGTTTATGGGTACTTACATTACTACCTATGTTTCCTACACTTACTAGTTAAACATTTTAGGCACCAAATAAAATGGTAAATCCTGTGTGTCCTGTAACTTGGCCTAAGTTATGTGACTGTGGAATCAGTTCTTCAGCCAGGGCCCCCTGGGAATCATATTAAGTAACATCAGAAAGTGACATCACATGAGGAGGCTCTCTTCTACAGTCATATCAGTGTCACTAGGTCTTTCAAAAACAGCTGGGAGATTTAGGTTTCAGTGGCTACATTGAGTAGAGCACCTGTAATAAGTACCAGGTATAATGGACCATTTCTCTCAGCGACACTATTTTTGTGTGCAGCTGACCTTGTGTAGTAATATGGTACCAATTTTAGCAGACCACAGTGCATTTTATCTGGCAGCGAGCCTTGAAAATCAGGTCCATTTAAAGTATATGGCCATGTGAGACTATATGTAGAGTTTGTGTTTTGGGCATTAATGATGCTTGCCTAGTCTACTTTCTCAAATTTTATTTAGGTCTTTCATACATTTATTATTTAAAAGTATATGATTAAGATAAAGGAAAAACAAAATGAAAACTGGGCTCAGTGGCTCATACCTGTAATCCCAGCACTTTGGGAGGCCAAGGCAGGAGGATCACTTGAGCCCAGGAGTTTGAGACCAGCCTGGGCAATGTGGCAAGACTCCATCTCTACAAAAAATTTTAAAAAGTTAGCCAGGCATGGTGGTACACACCTGTGGTCCTAGCTACGAGACTGAGAAAACAGGATCCCTGGAGCCCAGGAATTCAAGGTAGCAGTGAGGTGTGCTTGTGCCACTGCACTCTAGCCCAGGTGACAGAGCAATATCCTGTCTCAAATGAATAAAGTAAAATGGTTGTGTAATAACTTTATATCCTCAGTTTTCTTTAGATTTGTTATTTTCTGACGGTGCTCAAAGTGGGAATTTTCTTGAAAGTAATAGTTAAAAAAATACTACATCATTTCCTATGGGACACATTTACAAAGATGTTTAATAAAATTTCTAATAAAGGGATAGCATTAAATTATTTTAACAATTTTTGTTGAATATTTAGTCTTAGTTCTTAAATCTGCCAACAAAACCAGATAAATGTCTTATATTAGGCACATTCATTCCATTATGATTGATAAATAACACAAAGATTAAATTAACAAAATACATTTTAGGTTTTCTATAATGACACCTACAGGATAAAATTGACTCTAAAGATTAAATAACCTTTCTAATACTCTACTTTACACATAATCTGAAAATTTAAATACACCCAAATTCTAGTGAATAAATTTTCAATAAGAGTAATCAAACTTAGGCCAACCACCAAGCTGAATATAAACATGTTATTGATCATACATAAAAATGTTAGTGATTCACGGACTTGAGTCACTTTTTAACACTGGCTGTGCACTTAGATTCTTGTATGGTCACCCAGTCCCTTTATGAATAACTGGATATATTTTTTGAATGGTAACTAGCCAGAATTATAGCCAAAGTCTGATGCCAAACTGGCCCACATGTGTATTGAATCCAGAAATGCTATATATCAAACACTTGATTGCATTAACTAGTTACTTGAGTGCATTACTTAGTAGCCTGCAATCCTGAACGTTGGTAATCATCCTCAAAAAGGTCTATTAACCTCTATTAAGAATTGGTCTATATCAATTAACCACTAATAGAGAACTCTTCATTAAACTAATATTTCAAACATTTTATTTGAGGCAGTAAAATATCTTAAAAAGAATGAATAGGTGTTGGCTTTTACAAACTATGAGTTCAGAAACTTAGAAACCTCAAATTCTTACTGACTATATTACCAAATGGTAAAACACCAACTAACACAGTTCTGAAGCCAGTTAACCAGCAAAGAGCCCCACCTATGCACTGAAGTATCAGTTTCAGGTCATCACGTAAAACACACATAGCACTGAGGCAAAAAATAAATATATATATGGAGCCACTGCCTATTGAGAGTAACAAAACAATTTATTGGCTTCAGTGTATTTAGGAAAAATCGTTAATTTACAAAAACATCTTTCCTTTCTTGAATTATGAAAATTATAAAGCTAAGATAAAGTCTTTGCCAGTTTTACTCCATTTTTGAGAAAATTTAGATTTATCCTTACTAGTCTTTAACGCAGCTTTCTTGTTTTTTAAATTCTTTTTACTTTCTATTTTGTTACCATAGTGAAAAAAATTTTTATAAATGTGGTATGTGTGTTTATATTTTTTAAAACTTGGAACAGCAATTATCATGTTTTAGTATTCAAAAACAGACTATTAAAGGTCAACTATATTGTGATTATATATTATATATATTATACATATATATAAAATCTATCTTAGCAATTCATTCTCTCAGATAGTCACCAAAGAGGTCAAGACTCAATAACATGATACATGGAAAGGCCTATAATCTAAATCCAAATCATCATATTAAGACTTAGGAATTTAGTTTATATTAACTTAAATTCAAAATGCCAAAAGAAAAACCTATTTTGCTACATTAATTTTACAATTCGTTTTGTTGATGTGTTTTGTAAAAAACTTAAAACTAAATAAAAAATCTCCACCTCATCCATATTTAGTCACCCTCTCTGAGGATAACAGCCATGTCTATCTCATTCCCTGCAGTGTTGGCAGAACCTTTCACATTGTTTGACCCATAGATGCACAATGCATATTTTAATTAACAATTAACTAGAAGTATTATATTGAATTTGTTTAAAATTAATTTGTCAGAGTTCATCTGTGATAAGAATTGCCAATTAGGAATTGTAATTTCATTTTATGCCTTAAAAATTATAGCTGATAATCCATAAATTTAATTTATAGTCCTTACAATGCTCAAGGTGGCTCTGCCTATCAAAGTAGCACCTACTCCTTTGAAAGGAACGTTCTCAAAGAATTTTTATGATGTCATTTCTTTTTTTCTCTATAAAAGTTCCTCTGATAGGCTTCCCTGAAGGTTTTTAATCAGATACATAAGGCACCAGTAGATGGCAGTGAAAAATAAGCAGACACATTTCATTAGTCTGAGAAAATGCCATTTCTAACTTAGTACTAAACAAGAATCACACAGCCTAATTTGCCTGTGTTTTTTCACTAAAAAGATCGTGTCAGTCACATACATTTGACCGTGAGAAATTGCAAGAAACTAAAACTGTATTTTGCATCTGAAAGTTTATAATCTTGTGTAATAAGACAGAAGTATGTGAATGGTATGAAAGAATAAATTTATGAAAATCATATAGGCACATACACTACTGTAGACATGTAAAGATACATATATTGAGGCTCAGCAGATTCCCATTCATGAAGAATTG